CCTCTTCTGCCAGATATTACTCTATTTGTCTTTGCACCAAAGCACCTTGAATTTTCTAATATTTGATATTTGTGGTCAATTTTCTCCTTATATTTGTACCTAAATCCAATAAGGCTTCACCTTCATCATCTGAACAAGACTGCTTTTATCATGGTGACTAATGATCTCAGTGGGTTCTTTTTTTCTTTTTGTAGCAATTGTAAGATGTAATTTATATATATATATATATATATATATATATATATATATATACACACACACACACACACACACAAACATATATGTATGTATCTTTGATAACATGTCATTGTTTATGATAAATTCACAGAAGTGAAATAATAGTAAAAAGATAGTAGATAATCTAACTTTTGATTCCTTTTCCTAAGATTGTTTCAATAACTTACTCTCACAATTAATATGAGTGAATGTTTTTCCATATCATAGCTAACACAGGGAGTTATTTCAACTGCCTGAAAGTTGAAAAGTGCTATCTCTGATGTGAGCTCACATACTTCTGAAGAGGTGAGGCTTGCTGACTGTGATTGTATTGTCTGTGGAGAATAGAACTATATTAAAAATATAGTTCTATTCGTCTATTTTTGCTTTTATTATCTGTATACTTCAGCATATATGAAACCTTAGAATCTTTCCTCAATATTTTGGAGATTTGGATGCTGTCTTCTTTGCTCTTCAATGTTACCATCTTTCCTCTTTATTATGAACCAGTAACAGTTGTTTTCAAATATTTTTCTTTAGCTCACAGTTCATAGACTGTCACTTTGTTCACTAGTTTTAAGTTTCTAAGTTACTTGGCTGTTTGGCTTTGTTGACTCCACCTGACAAAACTTCAACTCTGCTTGCAAACACCCAGGCATCTCAGTCCAGGCAGAAGAGAGACTCACACCTGGTAGCCTTCACTACACAGTAAACCTGCTAGTACATTGATTTTGGAGTCTCTGGCATACACACCTGTGAGAAAAGAAGCTTCTGGTTTTTATCCATCACCCAACCTCATGTATTTTGTTATAGTAGCACAGATCTATCACCATTTCAGAAAGATTTCAGTTTATCATGGCAGGAAGGTATGGTGGAGTTCATGGTGATGGGATTTTGTAGCAGAGAGCAGACTATGGGACGGGAACCAGGGCTCTAACTCTGAGGCTTGCTCCTAGTAACTTACCTCCACAAGCAAGACTCTGTTTCATAAAGGCTCCAAAGTCTTCATAATAGTTACATAAGCTGTGACCGAGTGCAGGCTATTCGAGGTTCAAAACATAACAAAGACCCCAGTCTCTAAGTAATTTGATATGGGGTGAGGGACTAAACACACAGGTTTGGCTAGGATGGTAAGATTTAGCAGTGCAGTGATTTGAAGGAGAATTGATCCTATTGTGCAGTTATCTGAACACTTGGTTCCCAGCTGCTGGGACTTTTTGGAGAGTTTAGGGGTACAGTCTTGCTGGAGGAGTTGTGTCACTGGAGGTGGACCTGTAGATTAAAAGCCCTGGCCACTTCCAGTTCACCCTCTCTGCTTTGTGCTTCTGGTGGAAGACATGAGCTCTCAGCTTCTTGTGCCAGCCACGAGGCCTGCCCGTTGCTGCCATGCTTGCTGCCACAGTGGACTCTTAGCCCTCTGGATCCGTAAGCCAAAATAAACGCCTTCTTCCCTCAGTTTCCTTGGTCATGATATTTTATCACAGGAGCAGAAAGGCAATGAATACAAGTGGGAGTAGCAGGTTGGGTAGTATGTTAGGTTTGTTGATCAATAGGAAAACTGCCTGCTGTCCTGATTATGGAATGGCAGTATATTTTAGTAAGGAAACAAATCCGTTTGCTGTTTTTGGACATACCTGTTATCAAGGGTTAACTCAAAACAATGTCCAGTTAAAAAGTAAATCCAAGTTACAGAATTTTTCTCAGAATGAACTTTTGTCATCCTTATCTTCCCATGCTGTGACATTCAGGACAGTGAAGTGTCAAAGCTATCCTTTTGGTGTGCAAGTGGTGTCTCATGACTTAGGCTATCCTTTAGCTTCTGATCCTCCCCTTCCACCTGCCCAGGGCTGGGGCTTGTAGGCACCAGCTCTCCAAAGCAATAGTAACAATATTGTGATATATGTCAAGTTTTTATGCCTAGGCTCTAATTTGAAAATTTACAGTATATGTATGAACATTTTCTATAGATAAACTTACCAGTAATTTAAAATTAATTACTGCAAATTTCAAATGACCTTCAGTTTTACTTGCTATAAAAAAATCTTCACATGTTATCAATAGTGCCTTTAGAAATTATGAAATTATATATTGTATCTCACACATGGTAGTGGGACACAACTATATCCTTTAGTCTTAATTACAGGAAAAGTATGGACAAGTATAAGGCCTGGCTTTATTGTTTTATAAATGAACCAATAAAGTTCATGTCAGTGAAATGAGCATACACTTTTCATAAATTAAAATAAATCTCACATGGTAAAGTACCCATATTCAAAATTAATTTAATTACATGTTTAAAGTTTAATTACATTTAATTAAGCATTTAAGTTTAATATGAAATAAATGAATTATCAGTTAACTACTATGAAATGAAATACTGCCTTGGTAATTAAAATCTATAAATTTTCCTATTCTGTGTGAAACTGCTAGCTTTCAAAAAACATTCCAGCAATTATACATTTTAAAGACCATTTGACTACATCCTCATAGTTTATCAAAGTATAGCTTTTTGGCCCCTCAGCTTGGTGAGCTGCTTATTTCCCACAATGTGGAGGTTTTACAAACATGTTTTTGGGTGTTACCTTAGTGCAGTGGTTGCTGCAACCCTTTAATATAATTCCACAACCATAAAATTATTTTTGCTGCTACTTCCATGGCTGTAATTTTGCTACTGTTATGAATCATAATATAAATATCTGATATGCAGGATATCTGATCTGAGACCCCTGTGAAAGGGTTATTTGACCCCAAAGTGTCCCAACCCACAGGGTGAGAACCACTGCCTTTAGTGACTTATAATTTGCAACAGTAAAGTTGCCTAGCGTCTCTGACCTCTAGTTCCCATGAACTATGATGGTATTATTCAGCTCAAAAGTCTGTTGGTAGAATTAAATGGATAGGCTATGGTCATAAGCCCGAACAGTCCCCTTCTTGAAAGAGGCATTGGACTAAAGTTAATTTCTTCCTCCCTTTACCGGAATGAATGAATGAATATAAACCTCACATTATCTGGCATAACAATGTTTGCTCCTTGCAATAAATATGCCTATTTTAAATGATTAAGCAATGGTCTTTTTTGTTTACACTAACCATTATATATACATTATTTGATTTTTGTGGTGCTAGGGATTGAATCTATGCTAGGCAAACACTCTACAACTCGGCTATGGGCCTAGCTCACATTTCTTATTTATATGGCTGAGCATTCTTTGAACGAAACATATAGAATTACTGCTATCACAGAATTCTAAGTCAGCAATAACTTTGAATGCAGGTATTATCACTTTTTGCTCACATGCTTGTGTGTGTGTGTGTGTGTGTGTGTGTGTGTTTAGTTCAATGGGCAGTCAAAGTTGGGAAACTAGTATTTATTGACATAATGATTCAAAGTTAACAATAACAAAATTAAATGGGTAAATATGTGGTATTTCTGTTTCTTAGCCTCCAACGTTTACATGAGGGTATTGTGACTTCTCTGAATTCAAGGGGGGATCCCAAGAGCACAGCAGCATGAAGTCAGTACCAGGATCATGTTTTCATTCCTTCATTAGTACTCTTTTGTCTGCAACAAAACAATGAAAATGGCAGACACCAAAGCCTTCAAAAGGAATGAAGCACAAAGAAAGAGCTACAACATGTTCTCCTGGTTCCATCATTTAGTTGAGACCCTGCAAGATCTACATACATCAACATCTTCTGGAAAACAGAAATATTTGCTCAAGATATAAGGATGACAGAAGGTAATAAATGCAAGATGTATAGTAGTGCACCTGACACATAGTAGTCATTCTTTAATATAGCTACTAAAACTAAAACAGTACCCATGTGACATTCTATGTCTCTGACTATAGATTAGAGGACCTGTTAACAAAGTGAAAAAATTCTGAAAAAGGCTTAAGTTGAATAGTGTTGACTAAATGTTCAGGTATTATTTCTAGAACAGACACAAGACATTTAAGTCATTTAATTTCACAATTTCCTGTCTATAAACTCTAATAATTTAAAGATGATTTGATAGTGCTAAAAAAAAAAACAAAACAACAACACAGGCTACAATCTGTTTAGTAGCCTACTGTGGTAAGAACTCAAAGTAAGTTTTCTAAATATCTTACACATTATTTACTATTAAGTCTGTAACTTTCAGAATTCTGCTTTAATAAATTTTTGTCACTATAAACTCTAAACTACCTTGCCACCTAAATTACAGAGTGTTTTACTTACAACATCACTAAAAGTATAATGTCTTAATATAAATGGAATATTAAAAAGCATAAAGTGATAAATGTAGTTTGGTTGTTAAGAGTGCTTGCCTTGCATGCAAAAAGCACTAGGTTCAAGACCCAGTATTGCATAAAAGCAGGTATAGTAGCATATAGAATTAACCCCAACTTTCGGGAGGTAGAGCTTAAGAGGATCAGAAATTTCAGGGTCATAATTGGGCACATAGTTTAAATTCAGACAGGACTCAATAAAAAATAAAATAAAAAAACAAAAACACATACTTGCTTATCCTTTAAAAGATCACTTACTGAAAAGTATTAGCAAGCAACTAATTGTAACTAGCTTAGTATCCAGCTCTATCACATTATAGTAGTTTACAGAACCAGAAAAAAAAACACATAATAGGATATTACAAAATACATGTATAATTTCTTATATATTGTAGAAAACTAGCATTATTGGGCTATACCACCTTTGCATATGAAATATTCAAAATTGAGGTAAAAATGCAATTTACTGATATCTGAAGTCTGAATTTGTTGTTACACGAGCAGTTGACTTACCAGGATTCTCCCTTAAGTTCTGAAGTTATGTGTTCTGGAAGGAAGAATCCATGCCATTTTGAACTCCCCAGAAGCTCCTGAGAAATCCTTTTTGATACATCATAATAGTGACCAAATCGTGAAGATGACACTGGTCCAATCTGCTGGAAAATTGTGTTGGTTATTAAAATAACATTATTTTACACTATAATTTCTTTGTCTTACATCAAGCTAATGAGGAAAAGCTGATATACATATACTTATTGAATTTAAAGACTCATACAATAGCCTTTATTAGCCAAACTATATACAGTGAGGAATTAAACTTTCTACTCTCAAGTTTTTTTCAGTTAATGATTCCTAGAGTTTATAATAATTCATATACTTCTCTCATTTTAAAACTATTCTGTACATCTCTAAGTTAAAAATGTAATATACATAATTCTTAATTTATGTAAAATAGCTCACATTCTTAATGACAAACTGAATAAAGAGATACAAGAACTAAATGAAATTAAGTCAAATTAATTCATTGGTTGGAAGCTCCAAAACAAATCAAGTATTTAGATTTGTTTAACTAAGCATCATATTGAAACTAAATGCTCATAGGACAATATATACACATGCACAATATGTCTTATAAACTTAAACGAAGCTGATGGTGTAAGATGTATCAGAGTCTAGACAGGATCAAGGCATGCGTGAGAGTGAGAGGATGTGTGGGAACTATGTAAGACCATCAGAAACTTGGCATGATCATTAGTTCATGGTTTTATGTTCTTTATAACAGTTTCCCCAAGAAACCATCTTTCTCTTAGGAAACTAATAACTATTGGTACTGAATTTATTTACATATGTGAGTAAAAATCTATTAACTATTGTTCTGAATGGACTCTAGGTTAATTTTAATGAATACATTCCCTGCCCCCATACCCTTCTACATAAAGTTGAACTAGCAACAAATTCTACCCGGCAACAGCTTTCCATAAATGCTCTGGGCTGATGTTTATTGTGACCATTCCTGAGTGCTAAGAAACTGGCAAACTTGGGGATGCTCAAAACAGATATAGTCTCTGCAGAAATGTGAGAACTCTTAGTGGGTTCTTATCTTACAGAATGACAATTTTTTAATTCAGTTAAACATATGTTTGCTTGACACTAGCTAGCTATGTGCATTTAAGATTTCAATGATTCATATTCCTAAATTAAGTGCCTATAAACATCAAATTATACAGTCACATGAAATAAAACATCATGAAGTCTAATAGAAGCATTTTTCCTAGATTGAGTCTGTGGGTGTGACATTTATTTTCTAAATAAAATGAATGTGCATCTCTCCATAAGGTACTATTTATTTTCATTAATGAAAGACATCTATTAGTTGGCTTCAATATAATCTTTTCAATGCAATAATAATATGTGCAGAATTATGGTTCCTAAGACACAAATTCTCCATTTATTATGAAAAGTATTGACAAATAAATTATATGAGATTAAAATAAGTTTCTTAAAAATATGGTGTAAAGGTTTTTAAATGTAAAGTTATTAGTCTAAAGCAATTTAAACAAGGTCTGTTCTTTGGCCTATAATTGATTCTTTATCCGGATTATAGTTCAGAATGTTTTTACTGCAATCTCTGCGAGAGCTCATCTTTTTATTGTGTAAGTCCAAGCCCTCTTAATGTTTCAGAAAGGCCTTGACTAACTGAACTTTGATCTGATGTCTTCATTGAGAAAAACACCAGGTTGCCCATTTCAGATGCAAATCCCCCTAAGGCCCAATAGAATTTAGTAAAGACAGCAAAAAAGAAGAAACCAGAAGTTTCCAGGATCCTCTTTGGGAATCCTGGGGCACACTGGTGTCCTTAATCCATGCTACTGCATGGATTAAGGTAGGTGATAACCTTTCCTGATTCAAAAGAATAAGCTGAGTGCCTACAAACTGGGTGGAGACTAGGATTTGGCTATAATAAAACACCATGCAATAAAAGCTTGGTCTATGTCAGAAGCCTCTGAAAAGGCCTCAATGTACCACATTCCCAGGCCTGGTAGGGAAGCTTGCAAAAGCCTACCTGAATCAAATAAGCATGAATAATCTATTTTAGCAGACTGACCATGGGGAGAGAGAAAGAAAGAGAGACTTTTCACTTCTTTTAAGTTTGAGTTAATAAATTTATTAGTGGATTGAAGGTTCTTGAAGTCCCATGCACTCACAGAAATATACCAAATTACCAAAATGCAAGGTATGCTTTTTAAGTTGCCGTCACTTTTAATGTTTTTAATTATAATATTAGTGTGCTAGAATTCTCAGATTTTGAATGAATCAAGGCAGAAAATTGATTTCATGCTGTGACAGTTTACATACAGACCACAAACAATTCATTAAAATGTAAAAATACAACTGGTAAATTTTCTTACTATAATTTCTTACTATAATTGTCACTAACTTATTTAGATGCTAAGACCAAATATGACAGGAAAAATATTGATAAGGTAGACACAAAGTTTTCATTACTGATGAAAGATTTCAATCTTTTAATAAAGAAAAAAACAAAGCAAATATATTCTTATAGTATAAAAAGTTTTGCAAATTTTTCTATCCAAGACATATAATATTAGCATACAGTCAGATTTCTGAAATACTAGAATCTTTTGAGACCTGGCAATTTCCTTTGAAAATAAAATCTTACTGTTGTTACTCTAACAGTGTTTATCTATAAAAATATCATTGTTATAAAAATTAAATTGCAATTTATTTCAACCTATCATGAAAAAGCAGTTCATTTATTTCATGTGCTAAGAACATGTTGCTTTAATTTTACATATGACAACTTTTATTGCTTACTTAACCTACCTTTTACTTTATCATCTGTAGAATAGAGAAAAATAGAAGTTTTCACTATGCTAAAAATTGAAATCTGATGGGAGTCCAGGAGGAAATCTGAGCAACAGAACAACAGCACACTCCAACACCACCACACTAGAGCTCCAGTGTGTTAGGAAGCAACAAACTACAGAGGAAACACACCAATAGTCTATGTAAGCGCTGTCTCACCACTGTCAGCAAGTCTTGTTTCTGAGAGTGTAGCATACCAGACAGCAAGAATCCAAACACCCACTAAAAACCATGCAGAGCCCCAGCTCAATCACTAGAACTGGGCTAATTACGATCTTACTATGCTCTAGAAATAATCTATGCAATATTGACAATTAATGTTATATACATTTGAACATAATATGAATATTATCATTACTAAGTTATGATTCATTAGAGAATCAGAAAATTTATCATTGTTCTTTGTAATTCCATTGCCTTACTGAAAAAAATTTGTTGCACATTGACATATTAACTTATCTACCAGAATTGTTGTGGCTAAACCACTAATTATAACAAGAGTCTGATATGCTGCCATGACTCGCTGGAAGACTGGTTGGTACTAGAGTCCTACAATTCTGAAGTGAAATCGAGAATGCACTGCAGGCCAGCAATCTGAAGGGTGAGGAGTGAGTGGGTACTAACAATCAGGGAGAAGGCAAGTCCACCTATGACAGAGAAACTAAATCATTAGTGATACAGGAAGGATTCTTAAAACTACATATTTGTTGGGTTGTGTGACACATTTATACATTACTAAGTGTCTAACTTCTGTATCCACACCCTCATATTCCTTAAATAGACTAGGACTACACTTGTTGGATTTGGTAACAATTCACAATAAAGGGCATCTCTGATCATCGATATACCTCATTTTGGACTACTTTTACTTCTTTACTCTTAAACCAAAGTAGTGAAACTTCATTTTCTTCACAGAAATATAGAAAGCTAAATGTTTTTGTTTGTTTTATTTTCAAACTGGGAATTGCAAAGTAATACCTAGACTTTGAAAAAAGATGAAGACAAGTGCTGGCCAAGGATCATTGGTACAGGTTAGTCACTGAACATAAAATTATTGTGATGGTCCGAAAAAGAAAGAGAGAAAAAGGAAAAAAAGACAGCAAAGAAGCCAGACATAATTCTTATTTCTTAAACTGGAGGCATGCATTTGTAAACAGAAGCAAACTTAAATTTGAGCACTGACAATAAAGTAAAAAGAAGCGATTACTTATGGTAGTATTAATGATTGCAATTTGTTATTTAATTTCTCATTAATTCATTTTATGGAATATACATTACATACCAATAAAGCAAAACATTCTCTTTCTCTTTCTGAGCTCACATCCTAAAATAGACACAAGAGAAGTACTGAAATGGATATATGACTTCCTACTTTAAATAATGTAGTAAAGAAAGTAAAGCAGTGAAAGAGAAAGCAGTATTTCATGAAGCATGAAAAAGAAGTCACTGTAGATGATATGGTATTTCAGCAAACCCCCAGGAAAAAAATAGAATATTGAATAAATAGGAGAATATTCTAAATTATAATTTACAAAGAAACAATGGAAGCCCCAGGAAAGATGGTGGTTCTGTCTTTTTGTGATCTTTTGCAGTATAAGTTATGATAAGGGGCTGAGAAGATGCTCAGTCATGCCACACAAGCATAAGGATCTGAGTTAAGATTCCCAACACCCATCTCAAACCCCTTGAAGTCAGAGACTGGCATATCACTGGTGCTCACTGGCCAGCCAGCCAGTTGGTTATTTCCAAGTTCAGTAAGAGACACTGTCTCAAAACTTAGAGCGAAAATAACTGAAGAAAGACCTGGTGTTGGGCTGGAATACAGCTCAGTGACAGATGCTTGCCTAGCAAGTATGAGGCTTTAAGTTCTGTTCTCATTACTGTAAAACAACAGCAGCAGTAGCAACAACAAATAAAGACTCCTGACATCAATCCAGGCCTCCACATGAGCGCACGCGCGAGAGAGAAGAGTGAAAGAACATTGCAAATCATCACAGGGAGTGTGAAGCCAAGTGAGAAGTGTGGGGAAAAGGAAGGCTGGCACAAACACAAGCAAGATGAGCTTAAGTCTCATGGAGAAGAAACCTCCAAGGGAAGCAGCAATTGGCACCTAGCCATAACCCTTGGGTCCCTACTGGGCTCGGGGTAGGTGGTAGCTCACTAAAAAGGGCTATCCTGACTTCAGCTAGAGAGCTGTAGGAGACTGGTAGCCAGAGAAATGCTGCGTGGTAGGCGAGTAACCACAAGCTGGGAACACCCTGAGCAG